TATTCAAGGAAGAGGGTCTTTAGTGATCACCTGGCCCAAACCCCTGGAACTGCAGTTGTAGAATCTGAGGCCCAGAGAGATGACCCAGTGTCATCTGCAAACTGGTGGCTGAGTCAGATCACATCCCAGCCCAGGGGCCCTCCCTTTCTTTCCCCTCCATTCTTTCCTGAATTGGTCTCATCCGATGCAGAGTCTTTAGAAACCTTTCCTGTGCTGACAACTTGCAAATGTCTCTCTCTCCTCACCATCCCTGTCTCTCCCCCAACCTCCAGACTCCGGTGTCCAGCTGTCTAGAGCTGCAGTGACCTCTGGCTTCCTCTCCTCTCCCTGCTTCCTCTCTGACCCTCCTCCAAAGTCACCCCAGCCACCAGAGTATGAGTCTTTAATTTGCAGATTGGATCTGTCACACCTCTGTTCTCAGCCCACTGATGCATTGCACACAGATTGCAATCTAACCTCTTCCCCCAAGGCCTATAAGATCAGGCCCTGTGGTTTCTCCCATGATTGGCTGCCCCACTCCTTACGGTGCCCCCACAGTGACCTTGCTGTTGCTCAGACCACGCAGCTCACGCCTACCCTGTCTGCCGCATCCCTTCTCTGGAGCACTCTTCCCCAGACCCCCCATTCCTCCCCCCTCCATTCAGGGCTCAGTTCACCACCCTCCCCCACAGGTCTTCCTGAGCACCTCGTGCCAGACTCACCCCGTCGCTCTCTCCCCGGAGCCTTCTTGATCTGCCTTTGTACCAGTTAACCCTCCCTGAAATTATACTGCATATTTGTTTCTTTATTTCCTGGCCTCCCCTCTAGAAAGTAGCTCAGGTAGCTTCCTTGAGGGTAAGGACCTATCTTGCCCGCTGCTCAATGGCCCAGTGCCTTGAAAGGTGCTTGGCACGTACTGGCGCTCTCTCCTGACCAGTAAGCTGATAATGAAATGACTCCATTTAGCAAATGTGTTTGGAGGCTTTTCTGTGTCAGGTGCTGTGTTAGGCACCGAGGACTCAGACGTGGAGCAAGTGGACAAGCAAGGGTCCCTGCCCTCAAGGAGCTGGGTCACCGTTTTAGGGAGAGACAGAGCTTTGGAGAAGCAGCAGGGATGGCTTGTCCAAGCTGAGTCTGAGCCCCGTCTAAGAAGATGGGGTGAGTGTGAAAGATAATAGGTCCTTGCAACAAGTTGGATTTGAGATGGCAATTTGTCATTTAGGGGTCTTGACAGCCCACCCCCCCCAAGAAAGTCATGTTGGAGGAGTTAACAGGTGGAAGAAGTATGAAGGGGGGGTTGCATTTCTTGGGATAGAAACTCACATTTATTTAGCTCCATTTTTATGCTAGGACTTAAGACCTTAAATGCATAAGACTCAAACAGTCACAGGCAGATATCACTAGCCTCTTGCTGCAGATGAGGAAGCTAAGGGCCTGTGGCTGGTGCAACCACTTCATTGAACTGAGTACACTTTGCAGGGTTGTCAGCCTGGACTGGTTTTGCATTGATGTCCCTTTTCTGAAGAGCCTGGACCTCTCTGTCCCTCAGCCTCTCTGTCCCACAAGAGGCTCGTACTTGTGATGTGGGCTCTGGAGACCTGGGCACAGACAAAGCTGAGCGTGCAGACTGGGTGAGATCCACCCTGCTGACACTGGAATCAGGAAGAAGGCTGGCTTGGCTCCACCCAGAGAGGACCAAGCCTTACCCAGTGGGCATGTGGTCCAGCCTGGGTGAGCCCGGTGGGTACCTTGGCATTGAGACCACTTCCCAGGGAATTCCAATCTTCCCGCTTCTCTCTGGGTTTTCTGGCCTCACACAGCAGGTGAGCCATAGCAGCCTACCCGCTGCAGCCCACCCTGGAGGCCCCAGTCCCCCTCTGCTATGTAAACCGTCTGACTGAAGTTGCAGGGGCCCTGGAAGGCCCAGTCACCGCCTCCAGGAAGCCTTAGGAAGGCTTTCTCATTGGCAGGGCTTTCTCCTTTTCCTTACCCCCATAATCCTTCTTGCTTATTTATCCAAGCATCCATCCATCCAATCCACAAACATTCACCGGCACATACAATGTTCCTGGTACTTATTCACAGAACTGAGCAAGAACATGGTCCCTGCCCTCACAGAGCTTACTGTCTATTAAGGGACATTATGCACTAATTGCCAATTAAAATTAAATTGCAGACCTGGCCGGTTTGGCTCAGCGGTTAGAGCATCGGCCTGCGGACCAGAGAGTCCCGGGTTTGGTTCCCGCTAAGGGCACGTACCTCGGTTGCAGTTTGTCCCCGGCCCCAGTTGGGGTCATGTGGGCGGCAACCAGTCGATGTGTTTCTCTCACATGGATGTTTCTCTCTCTCTCTCCCTCCCTCCCGCTCTATATGAAGATGAATGCAAAAATGTTCTCAGGTGAGGATAAAAAATAATAATAATAAAATAAAATAAAATTGCAGCTGTGAACGTTGCTATGCAAGAAAGGTACCTGAACCTATGGGGGGCGTCAGGGTAGGAAAGACTTTCCTGAGGAAGGAACACTTCACCCAAGACCACGCTATCCAGTGCGACAACCGCCGGCCACGTGTGGCCACCGCGCCTTGAAGTGTGGCTAGGGCCACGGAGGAACCGAATTCAATAATGAATAATAATTTTATTTAATTTTAATTACTTGAAATTTAAATGTTAAAACTCAATCAGTATAAAAATATGTGTGTGCTTTGTTGGTAAACACAACCGTATTGCATTGTCGAGACACATTTCACGGCAACTATTGAAAATTTCAAAGGCTAAAGAGAAAAATAAGAGAAGCTATCACAATATAGCTATATTGTTTACATGTTGACATGATACCATTTCAGATTTTGGGTTAAACAAAATATATTAGTTAAAATTAATATCACTTTTTTTTTTTTTTTTTTTTATCCTCACCCGAGGACATTTTCCCATTTTTTTGTTCAGGTAGAGTGGGAGGGAGAGAGAGGAACAGAGAGAGAGAGAGAAACATCAATGTGAAAGGAACACATCAAGTGGCTGCCACCCGCACGACCGACCAGGGCCGGGGACAAACTGCAACCGAGGTACATACCCTTAGCGGGAACCGAACCCGGGTCTCTCAGGACCGCAGGCCAGCGCTCTAACCGCTGAGCCAAACCGGCCAGGGCAATATCACTTTTTTTCTTCTTACTTTTTCCGTGTGGATGCTAGAAAATCTAGACCTCTCTACGGGATTCACTCTATTTCTTTCTTTTTAATTTTTTTAATCCTCACCCAAGGACATTTTTCCATGTTTTATTCAGATAGAGTGGGAGGGAGAGAGAGGAAGAGAGAGAGAGAGAGAGAGACATTGACGTGAAAGGGACACATCGAGTGGCTGCCACCCACACGACCAACCAGGGCCAGGGACAAACTGCAACCGAGGTACGTGCCCTTAGCGGGAACCGAACCCGGGTCTCTCCGGACTGCAGGCCGACGCTCTAACCACTGAGCAAAACCGGTTAGGGCGGGCTCAGTCTATTTCTAAGACAGAACTTGACTAAGAGCAGAAAGCCCTCTCGGAGGAGTTAACAGGTGGGAGAAGCGGAAAGGGTATGGATGGGAAGTCGCATTTCTTAGAAAGGAAACGCATTTATTTAGCTCCATGGTTATGCTCAGACTTTAGACCTTACACGCATAACAAACACTCAAACATAACAGCCCCAGGCAGACATCACTCGCCTCTGGCTACAGATGAGGAAGCTGAGGGCCAGGTTTGACCAAGGTCCCTGGCTGGTGTGACCACTTCATTGAACTGTCTGCACTTCGCAGGGTGCCAACCTGAGCCGGTCTGATTTTTCTCTGAAAGGGCGGTTTCAGCTCAGCTCTGGATTCCTCCTGCCTGCCCCTCTCTGTTCCTACGGCAGAGTCTACCCCTCCGGACACTTCGGGAAAGGTGCCCTACAACTGTGCAGGAACGGATGAAGCTACTCTGTGTCAGGCTGTTTAAAGCCCAGGCTGGCCCTGGCCGGTTTGGCTCAGCGGTTAGAGCATCTGCCCGTAGACCAGAGAGTCTGGGTCAGTTCCTGCTAAGGGCACGTACCTTAGTTGCAGTATGTCCCCAGCCCTGGTTGGGGTCGTGTGGGTGGCAACCACTTGATGTGTCTCTCTCACATCGATGTTTCTCTCTCTCTCTTCCCCCCTCTCTCCCTCCGGCTCTATCTGAAGATAAGTGCAAAAATGTCCTCGGGTGAGGATTAAATAAATAAATAAATAAATAAAGCCCAGACGGAACCAGTTGGTTCCAAATGTCCCTGTCCCAGCATAGTGCCAACATCACACCCTCCCTCCCGCCACAGCTAACCCTCCCCCACCCCAGGTTCCTGCTGAGGGGTCTGGAAGGGGTGGCTACAAGTGGCCTTTTGTTCCTCCTTTCTCAGAATTGGGTCCCAGGTGCAGATCCTTGTGTGTGTGTGTGTGGGGGGGGGGTCCCTGTGCACATGTGCATGTGTGTAGGGGTGCCCTGGGCACAGCCCTCTCATGCATGCTCGGATCCAGCTCGGCCCCTGCAGTCCATGCAGCAGTCTGTTTCTTCAGGGGCTGCCAACAGGATGCTCTAAGCCTGGCCACTCTCCTCCGTGGGGCGGGGGCTCAGAGAACCTCTCCCCTGCAATTCTGCATGGGGGAAGTTCAGGCTGTTCCCCTGCCCCCCCCCCTTTCAGTTCCTTCTTCTCCTGCTCATAGCAGCCTGTCCACTGCCTGCCTCAGGAGACACTCGGAGAAGCCGCCCTCCTCTTCCTGCAGCCCCTCCCCCTCTCTAGGAGTTATCTTCTCGGGGTGCCTCGCTTGGCTGAGTGTACGGCAGTCTTCATTGGCAATCATTTTCCACGGGAAAACAAGTTATAGACCAACAGTATTTACGTCAGGGCTAGCAATTGGAAAGCCTAATAGAGTAGAAGGGTATGGGGGTTCGGGAGCAACCAAGGGGTGAAGCCAGGGACATGATTGTTGTGCTCACCGTCCGCCTCTCCGCAGCTTAGAGCCGAGTGGACAATTCTGGGCGATGGGACAGGTCCTGGTGACAACGTGGCAGCACGGGGAGGTGATGCGGCAGGGTTTGGCCCCTCAGTCTGTGCAGTATATTTGTTTTATTTGGTTGTAAGTGTCCGGGCTCCCTTCACCGGTCCTTCCCAGGCCACATCCCGTCCATCCTGCAGTCGCAAGAGCCATCGGGGCCAGGCCAGAGCAGGCCCTCGCGCAGGCCCAGCGGGAGGAGGCTCCCCCTCTGCAGCGCAAGCTTGAGGGAGCCGCCTTCCTGCTCCAGCTGGCGGCCGAGGCAGTCAGCACCAGGCTAAGGCAGCAGGTGCCTCCCCGCCGGAGACCTCAGACCTGAGGGTTTGGGGTTTGGAAGGAGCCTGGGCCACAGCAACCACTTCTCTCACTGCTCCAGGCCGGGGCGGGGTGTCTGGGAGCCACGGGCCCGCCCAGGCTGTCTGGAGACCAGGCAGCGGCTCCTGGGCTACTGTGGGCCACATCTGGGGCTTGGGGCCCGCACGGACCAGGGACGCCGTGAGCCTCCCGCCATGACCGCCACACTCGGGCAGGCCCTGGGCCTCCTGCCCGCCCTTCTGTTGGGACTCACAGGTGAGTTCGGAGTGCCGCCTGCAGGAATCCCCAGATCAGGCAGGGAGACCCTGGGGGCTCCACATCCAGCCACTTCGTGTAGGAGGGGTGAGGAGGGGGCTGAGACCCAGGGGACCAAGCTGAGCTTCGTTCCTGCCCCCAGGGTGCTGGTTTGCATCTTTCCCTCATGTGGACCTCGTGGGAAACAGCTGGCGGGCGCTCTGGGGGTCAAGAAGGGAAAGATGTGACACAGGGCGAGGAGCTGGGAGGAAAGTCAGGGGGTGAAAGAGGAGCCCACCTCTCACCCAGCTTCTTTGATGTCGGCTCTGGTCTAGGTGGCCACCAGGTCTAGGTCAGAGACGGTGTGAGGGTGGGAAAGCAGAGGGAGAGGGGAACCCCGAAGTGATGAAGCCTCTGGCATTGTGGGAAGAGAGCTGGACCCACATTCAGACAGACCTGCTTAACATCCCTCCGTAGCCACTCACAGGCTGTGTGATCTTGAGCAAGTCACTAGACCTCTCTGAGCCTGTTTCCTCTACTGGAAAGTGGGACAACAGTCCAGCATTCCTCAGTTGGGATATGGATGAAGGTGAGCACACACACCTGAAAGTTTCATAAACCACAGGGCGCTGTGTGCGGACGGGGTGATACTCATCATTAGGGTCTACTCAGAAGAGCACGATGCAGAAGGTACCACAGCTCATTGCTAAGAGGACATGCTCCTAAGGCCCGCGGAGCTGCCTTCCATCACCCTGTGTTGTCATTGCTGGTTTACTGGTCCCTTTCCACACACACCTGACCCGATGGGGGCAAGGGTCCTGTCCGACCCATCTCTGTGTCTCCAGCACCCAGCTCACATACGGACTCAGAGCAGAGGCTCAGGGGATGCAACAAAGACTTGGAGAGGTCTTGGCTCTCAGATCTCTGCAGACTGTCCTGGGGAGTGGGGCTGTCTAGTCCTGCAGTTGTCCTCAGACGACTCTAGGAGACAGACCCTAGGTTAGAAGTAGAAGTACTTTGTCTTAGTCCTGGCCTTGTGAGGATGGACGAAGCTGCCTCAGGTGGAGAGAGCTCCCTGTCACTGGAGGCAAGCAGGCAGAGGATGGATGCCCTTTGAGGCGGGTCCACTGTTTGCCTCAGGAGATTCCTGGAGGAGAAGGGCCAGGCATCCTTGCCCGCGGTCATTCCTCACTTCACACTCATGTCCAAAATGGAAATCTGATTCTTCACCATGCCTCTCCTAGTCTGACCTGGTCCAGTTTCTCCCTCTCAAAACCTAGAACCGCCATCCACCCAGATGCTCAAGAGAAACCTGGGAATCATTTATCCACAGTTCATTGTGTCTCTCATTTCCCAACCAGTCCATCACCAAGTCCTGTAGGCTCTATCTTCCAAATATGTCTCGGTTCCCTCCATTTCTCGGAATCCCAGCCTGGGCACTGTGACCTCACCTGATGTCTGCAGCAGCCTCCTCGCTGCCTCCCTGCTCCCAAATGCCACCTCCTGTCCGCTCTCCACACAGCCCCTGTTCTCATCAGTGAGACCACCTGTCAGTGAGCTCCTCTGCTTCAAATCTCCCATGGTGTCCCATCAGAGCAGGATCAAGAGTCACCATCACCCACAAGGGTCTTCTCCATTGGCACCTCTAGACCTCTTCAATTTTAAGCCCACCAAGCTCCTCCTGCTCGAGGTATTCTCACCTGCTCTTCCCACTTTCTAGAATGTTATTTCCCTGCCCTTTCGCATGGTTGGCTCCTATCCATTCCTCAGTTTCAGCTCAAAATGTCACCTTCACCCTTCAAGAATAAGTCCTCCCAGCATTTTTGATCTCTGTACTCTTTGGGTTCCCCTCAAGTCTCCGAGCCCCAGTTTCAATGATATATGTGCTTGTTTACTTGTTATCATCTGCTCTGTAAGCCCTGAGGCTAGAACTACACACAGTACACAGTAGGCCCACGAGGCCTCACAGGACAGGCGCCTCGGACGGGCTGGAGTGCGGGACGTGTCGCTCTCGGTGTGCAGACAAATGCTCCTTTTCACAGCGGGGCAGCCCTTCATCACGCTGGTGGGCCCGGCTCAGAGGACAGCCCCTGGGAACTCGGTGCCTTTCAACTGCACCGCTGGCGCCTTCAGGTCCCAGGACATCAATGTCACTTGGATGAAGGACGGAGATGAGCGTCCAGCCTCAGTTCAGCGCCTCGTGACTGATGACAAAGGCAATTACTCTGTCACCAGTAAGGTGTGGGTGACACTGGTGCGCCAAGATGTCTCATCAGAGATCACCTGTAAAGTCACCCACAGGGACCTGGCAGAGCCCCTGCACAAGACCATGAACCTCTCCCAAGTGCTACGAGGTGAGTGGGCATTAGGGTTGGGGACATCGTTTTTCCTGGCAGCATTGGCTTCCAAGTCTTCCACCTAAAGCCCCATTCACGAGTGGGAAGCTGAAGTTCCTCATTGGCACGGCTGAGCATGCAGTATAGCCCTTAAAGGCACAGGTTCCAGAGGCTGACCATCCAGGTTTAATCCTCTGCACTACTTCATGGCTTGTGCCTCTGCTTCCTCTTACAATGGAAGTAAAGTGAAAACCTACCTCCTAGGTTTCAGGTGAGGGTCAAATGGCTTATTCCTTATAAAGCACCTAGAATAGTACCTGGCACACAGTAAGTTGTTTATGGATGTTCATTATTATTATCTGGCCCAACTTTCCATTACAAACATATTTGTTCCATTAATATAATTGTTATTATTAATTTTAGATATTTATTATTCATTCAACAAATGAATATCGAGGACGGGCCAGGCACTGTCCTAGGTGCTGAGGCTACAACATGGATAAAATTAAGTCCATATCCTCCTGGGCATTATATCTTAGTAATTCTTAAAATTGTATTTCATGATATGAAATACTTCATGCATACAGAAAATAATATCCCAGACACCCATGTACCCCTACCCATATTTAATGACTATTAATATTTAGCTCCATTTGCCTTACATTGAGCATACAGGAAAAGAGATATTTCTTTTAAAAAAGTAACTAATGAAAGAGATCTTGTGGCTGGTTCCTAGGAGAGAGAAACACATGGGGCAGGCACGCAGGTGTCATTTTAACAGATGCTCTCTTTCCGCCCCTCCGCTCCTCGGTCTAGTTGTCCCCACTGTGAAGATCAGCAACCAGCGCTCGGAGGCATCTGTCTCCCATCAGAGAGTGAATCTCACTTGCCAAGCGAGCCACTTCTACCCCTCCCACCTGCATCTCACCTGGATGGAGAACAGGCACACGGTCCAGACCGTGCTGTCCCCCCAGGTCACGAGAAACTCAGACGGGACCTACTCCCTGGAGCACACGTGGCAGGCAGAGGCCACGCTGCAGGGGAGCGAGTTTGCCTGCTGGGTGGTCCAGGACGATCAGCCCCCAGTCCAGGCCAACATCACCCTGCGGGCTCGGCCACCCAGGACGGATAAAGGTGAGTGTAGCCTGCGGCCCAACCTCTCTGCGCAGCACGGCTGAGAGGGTCAGGTGTGAACACACGGGCCATCCGCCTGGGGTGCGGGCAGCGCTGTCAGGGACTCAGGGCGGCACCGAGAAGGAAGGAGGACACCCTGGGCTGGAGATGGAACTCTCAGGCATGCGCCGCTCCATTCCCTCCCTCCCTCCCTCTCCCACACCCTCACCAAGAAGGGATGGGACTTCCACTCTTCAGGTAGCAAGTTCTCTGCTTCCACACGTGACTGCAGGAAACAGCAGACATTTCTCTGCTGGGCGCCACAGACTGGTTCGGCTGGAAGTTTCTGGAAGTCAATTTTAATGCGAGGCAAGACAGTTCGCTTTCTCTTCTCCTGTCCTTGCTTCTTTTTGCCCCCTCTTCTTCCTCCTCCTCACCCCTCCTCCTCCTCTTCCAGCGCCTTCTCCCCGCGCCCCATCCGAACCCCCTTTCTCGTCTAGCTCACTCTTTATGTTCGCTGAGGACTTTCTCCACCAGGGGGCGGTGCCGGCTAGCGGACCAGACCCGGAGACCAGCGCGGCTTTCCTGGACAGCTTGCGGGAAAGATAGGTGGGCGGGGGTTGGGCAAAGAGGCGGGAGTGGAGAGAGGGAGTACTGTGATTGGCCAGGCTGGGCCGCGGGCTCAGCCGAGTGTGGACCGACAGCTCTCAGAGCCACAGGGAGAGCGGAAGGACAGCCCCCCCACCCCCCCGCCCCGGAAATCCGAGCGCCCGGCGGTGCGCGGTGTGACAGCCCGGCCGCTGCGGGGGCAGAGAGGCAGGTGCGGGTGGCCGCGCAGCGCCGTCTGGGCTGGGGCGCCGACCTGCGCTCCGTCTCCTCCTGACGGGATTCCCCTTATCTGCCTGCTGTAAGACTCCAGAGGGAACGAGCCCCCCACCCTTCCATTTCTACGTGCCCTGGTGTTTCCTGTCCAGCAGAAATACGAAAAACGTTTCCCAGAGGGAGATGCAGATTTGAGTGAAAAACTCCAGCCCGGTCCTTTCCGATCAGAAGCAAGTTACATTATTTCTTTATGGACTCACTCTGAGTTCGTTCCTGTCTTATTTTTCTCCTTCGCCTGCAAGCAGTGTATTTGGCCCACTGCTGCCAGTTAACCCCCTGAGAACATCACTTTGATTCCACCTCTGCCTTGTGCAGCTGCTCCAAGCGTCCTTTGGTCTGGAGAGGGGAAAGGCAATTTCCTTTCCTGGCGTTTGATGCTAGCATATCTTTGCAGCAAACCCCCCAGTCTGGCCCAGAAAACCCTTCTTCAGCAGCCCTCATGCATTCCCAGCTCTGTGCCCCTGTTCACATAGGGCTAACACCTGCAGAGCACTCACGCACCAGGTGTCCTCACTGTGCACCAGGTGTCCTCACATGCACCAGGTGTCCTCACATGTACCAGGTGTCCTCACTGTGTACAAGTGCCCTCACTGTGTACAAGTGTCCTCACACACACCAAGTGTCCTCACTGTGCACCAGGTGTCCTCACATGCACCGGGTGTCCTCACATGCACCAGGTGTCCTCACATGCACCAGGTGTCCTCATTGTGCACCAGGTGTCCTCACATGCACCAGGTGTCCTCATTGTGCACCAGGTGTCCTCATTGTGCACCAGGTGTCCTCACATGCACCAGGTGTCCTTATTGTGCACCAGGTGTCCTCACACACACCAGGTGTCCTCACATGCATCAGGTGTCCTCACATGCACCAGGTGTCCTCATGGTGCACCAGGTGTCCTCACATGCACCAGGTGTCCTCATGGTGCACCAGGTGTCCTTATTGTGCACCAGGTGTCCTCACTGTGTACAGGTGTCCTCACACACACCAGGTGTCCTCACATGCACCAGGTGTCCTTAGTGTGCACCAGGTGTCCTCACATGCCTCATGTGACGAACGGCAGCCAAGAAAGGCAGCAGACAGCTGTCTCAGGGATCTCAGAGCTGAAATCAGAAGGCAGGGCTGTCTCTTCACAAATTCAATGTGCTTTTCTGTATTTGTCTCTTCCATCCTGCTTGAGAACACAAATCCTGGTTGTCTCAAGTCTCTTCTCAAATCGACCTTAAATACCCTATTTTTAGTATTTATTTCTTCCACATCAGTCCATATCATTCCAGTCTCACAATTTCTTCTTAAACTATGGGTCTCCTGCAAGCCCTGATGGAGGTGTATCTGTTTCCATCTCTCCTCCATGATGAAACTCAACCCTTGAAGCAAACGCTGGCTCCTGGGTTTGGAGGTGGCCGAGGTGGGAGTCCAATGGATCAGTGTCACACCGCAGGGCTGCCACTGGCCATCTGTGACCTCAGGCAACGCCCTGCCCTTCCTGAGCGCAGTCTCTCTATCTCTTCAATGACAACTGTGGTGCCTGCTGGAGGTCTGTTTCCTGACCCCGGCTTGACCACGGGTGCTCTGTGATGCCTGTTTTGTGATCTCCATGGTGCGCAGCCCAGAGCTGGGCTAACAGTGGGAAAATGTTGTATGAGGATAGACCACTTCTAGGGTGATCAATATGTGCCACAGATTCTACACTACTGAATTTACCCATTAACTCTGAAAGTTAAGAATCATCCCCATTTTGCAGACAAGGAAACTGAGGCTTAGGGAGTTGAGTTGCCCAGGCTCACCCAGTGGAGGACCTGGGAGTGCAAACTTGGGTTGAGCGTAACACCAAAGCCCGTGACCCTAACCTCTTCTCTGTGCCACCTGCTTTCACATCATGGCCTGGCCTTAAGCAGTGAGGCGCCCCTCCCTTCCCCGGGACTGAGGGCAGAGCCGAGCAGTGGTCATGGGCAAGGACCCTGCAGAACCTCAGCTCTGCCACTGACCAGCTGTGGGCCCTGGGCAAGTTACCTAGCCTGTCCTCCTGTGGTTTTGGGGAGAACTTGGTGAGTTAGGCAGAGCCCATCAGCGGGGTCGTGTGACATGCGTGTTACTATGAGACGTGAGTGGCAGTTGGCCTTCTTACACAATGCTTGGGTCCTTCTGTAATTTCGTCTGGTTCTAATATCAGCCTCAGAAACAAAGTCTTTTTGGAATGCACCCTTTAGATGCCATGGAGAAGGAGGAAATGAGGCTTCTTGATAGAGATGCTGAGGATTTGTTCTCATTGGGATTTGGGCACCTTTGTGCTCTCTCACAGAAGGGTGTTTTCTTGCAGACAAGAGGAGCGGCGGCTCCTCTTACATCTTGCAAGGCCCGCTTCAGCGATCTGAGCCGGGCACAAGCATCCGACTGACGTTCATGTCCTCCGGATTCCCCACACAGCAGGTCATGGTGACCTGGCTTAAAAACAGCCTCAAGCTGCCAAACCCCCAGACCAGCGCCCACCTGGGTGGAGACACTTACAATGTGACCAGCAGCGTGCTCGTCACCCTGCAGGCTGACGACATGCTCTCCCACGTGCTCTGCCTCGTCCACTACAAGTCGAAACTGATTTGGCAGCAAGCAATCACCCTGGACCAGTACCTCCGTGGTAAGGAGTTTGTCTTTGTTCAGTTGGCTGGCTGGGTTGTGGGTGTCTCTGAGCCCCAGTTTCCTCATCTGAAAAATGGCCCATCCCTCACTTGCTTATGGCAAAGATTCAATCCAACTTACCTGCCGCACACATGCTTTGCTCATATTAACTACGCAGAAGTGGCAATTGCTGTTGTTATTTCTTCTTATTATTACTCTTCACACCACCTCTCAGAACTCTGTTTTCTCATCTGTAAAATGGAGACAAAATACCTTCCAGGAATAAACAATAAATTTTATTTTATTATTATTTTATATGAAGAGGATGTAAAGGGCTTTGACACTTCTAAATTTAATGTCTTCTGATCATTACTCATACCTGTTTAAGGGTCCAATTTTTCATGATATTTTTGGTCGGTTTTCCTGGCCTGAACCAATTTTGACAGGTGTGTAAATTCAGTGAGGTCATATATATCATGCCTGCCTGCAAGGAGTCTTAGTGATCGCCCCGTTGTTAATGGCAACCCTACAGCCTAGAGAAGGCAAGTGAGTGGTCCAAGGTTGCACAGCAGGAAAATCAACCCCTTACATGTATATAGGACTTTAAAGTGTACAAAATATTTATTTTGTGTGCTATCATCACGGAAGTAAACACACCATTTTACAGACTGTTGATACTAACGTCTCGAATGAGCACAACACGTGGTCAGAAGGCACATTCATGCGGGTGGCATTGAATGTGCACGGCTGCCCGGCACTGTGTGTCCCAGCGAGGTTTACGGAAAGAGCCGAGGGTCAAAGCAGTGAGGGCGTTCTGAGTTTGTACAGCTGGCGAGTGGGGGGCGTTTCCTGTGGACTCTGGCTTTTGACTGCTGCTCACCAGCGGTGGGATCTCCTGCTGGAGACCTGAATTCTCTCAGCTTCAGTAGTATCGTCTGTAAAGTAGGGAAATGATCTTTCAGGGGGTCCTCCTTAGCTGAGTATTTGTCCTATAATTCCATGCATTTAGGACAGTTGTGTAGAGAAGCAAATATAAAAATGCAAGTATTCAAAAATGAATTAATTACTTACAAAACGAGCCCCCACTCAAGACCCCTCCTTGCTCAACACCGCGTGCATCTCAGGTTGGGTTTCCCATCACAGAAGTGTCTTTGCGGGGTCTTTATTTGAGTTCCCCTGAAAGCAGAGCCTGCAACCAGGACTTGGGTGCAGGTGGAATAAGGGATGGGGAGATCGAGATAGGGAAGGCCAGACACCCAAGAAAATGGGGAGATATTGAACTGGGTGTCCTTATGGATGCCTGAGGCTCAGTGCCACTGAGGACTCTCTAAGGAACTGTGTGTTCTCAGGGTGGTCTCACAGAGGAGGAGAGGCCGGGATGGGCCTGGACGAGCCGGGGGTCATTTCGTGGTCAAGGAGGAGTCTCGAGGCAGGGAATCAGGGAGGTGTTTCAGGAAGTGGCACCAGCCAGCACCACTGCCAAGCCCTGAGGAGGTCGGTCGGTCGGCTGGCAGGGCCCTGTGGAGCCGGAAACCCTCTGCTCTAGGAGGCGGGTCTTGCCTTGATTGAAGTTGGCAAACGTCAGACCACACTGTGCACACAGAATCCACGTCCACTGAAAGTGAAATCAGATCTGGCCAACGTTATTTCAGAAAGTCGGTGCAGATGTTGTCAGGGAACTTCTGGGATCACAGGCAGAGCCTCTGAGTGGCTACAGACGGGGACATCTGATGACTCTGCGGGCATTCAACTGAACATATTCATTTAGAAGAGGCCACCGTGAAAACTGACAGAACACTCAAATAATTTTTCAACTTTTCCCGTCAATGATTGTGCCTGAGTGAGAGATTTAAAATGAAGGGCTGTTGGTGTTGTGGTACGTGATTCTGGGAAAAATCACGCCAAATTCCTTACACTCCCAGTACTTGTTCCTTCTAACAGTTGGTGCAGAATTTTTATTATATTCTATACCTAATTTAAAACATAGATTAATAAAATTATTTTTACGATTGAAGTATTTTTCAAGATAAAGTTTCAATCAATTCCGTTTTGACAGTTTCTATGACATTGGGCCCTGCTTTCGCATAGGTTTCTTCTAAGTGGCTTTTTGTTTTGTTCTGTTTCTGATAACAGTAGCTTTCTGTGCTTCGTGAGGATTGAATGAGACAGCACATGCACACTCCTCAAACACGTCCATTCAGTGCTGTGCCCAGGTCTCTATTCTTCACACACTGCCATGGACACCGGACAGCCAGTGGAACGCGCTGGTGGCTGCCATGGGCCGTCTGAGCATCTCCATCCTTGTATTGGTCCTTGCTTGGTGGTACCTTACCCTGGACTGTTCTCCATAGGTACCACCCCGGCCACCAGGCCTTCACCATCCTGGGTTTCTCCATCTCAGGGTCCTCTCTCGTGTGCTGAAGGGGAAAGACTGAGTATAGATTGTGGCCTTCTGGGGACGATGCTTGCTGTGGCTGTCCTACCCATTAGCATCATTATTGATAGAATTCAATGGGTCTGGGTGGGTTGAGTATGGAGAAGGGGTATTTTGGGGCCAGAGGCCCTCAGTTCCTTAAAATTGTACAACACAAGGAGTTACTCTCTCTACTCTAGGCCAAGAGCTAAAGTCTGTCTTCATTAGCCCGGTGAGAGCTGATCTCACTTTAGACAATTTCATAATTTAAGAGTCCTGAATACAGAGGGGAAGTGACTGTGCAAGGCCTGGCAGTGTGCTGTGGTGTCTGCGGGGACCGGAATCTGCACCTCCCATCCCTTGGAGTAGGGTTAGAACTACACCATGCCGTGTGCTCAGATGAAGTATACTGAGATATTTCATGGTTTATAGTATTTAAGAATCCTCCAAATTTTTCTCATTCTACTGCACAGCTGAAAGTCTGGTTGAAAAAAAGGTCTAGAAGTTGTTAGATCAAATTTTCAGAAGCCAGGAATCTTAAATTCTATAGTCTTGAAGTTTGGGTGTCGGAATAACATGTGGTAAAATATACTCTCTCTGCCATAATCCCAGCCACTTGTGATCTCATGCAAATTGTGACGGGCATGTTACTTAGCCTCTCCAAATCCATGCTTCCTCCTATGTAAAACCTTAGTATCTTTGAGTCATAAAGCTTTAGAGTGTATGAATCTTCAAATCTTAGCATTACCAAGTCACAGATTAGTCAGCTGGTTCATAGATTCTTAAATGGAATTCAGATTTCATCGTTTCATCTTTAATGCCTAAAATGGAAAAGAGAGGAAAGGTTAGGATGGCTTTCATCTTTCCCATTCATTCTTCCATCCATGCATTCCACCCACACATGCATGCATGCATCCATCCATCCAAATCTGCATTCACACTCTCATTAATCACGCATTTACTTATGCATGCGTCTGTTAACCTATATCCAACTCCTCCTCTGTGACAGGCCCTGGGAAGAACACCCATCTTCAAGGAGCTCTCAGGCTCCCACAGTAGATTTCCTAGAGTAATTGTCTGCTTTCTCTGGGTTGTATCAGTTTCTCCTGCAGTGACAGTATCCCAGGCTTCACACTTCTCAGACTTGGTGGCCATTACTTGCCACGTGCAGAGATTCTATCCACAAAGTGTAAACCTCACCTGGCTGGAGAACTGCAACAGGTTCAAGGGAGCTGAGCATTCCTCGCTCAAACAGAACAGCGACGGGACCTACTTCCTGGAAAGCTTGCAGTGGGTGAACGTGTCAATGCAAGGATCTGAGCGGGTGCTCACCTGTATGGTACAGCATGACACACAGCCTCCCATCCGGGCCAGCCACATACTGTTCCCAGCAGCCCACACCACGTACAAGCCCACTGAAAGCCCAGGTAAGCACACCGCTTCTCCTGTGAGCAGCTAGGTCACCTCTCTCTCCTGAGGGTTAGGATTCCAAAGGCATTGGCAGGGGAACTAATTGAAGTCTTGCCCAACTTAAAAGTCTGTGACTCCCTGAATAACCAGAATGGTTTCTGGCCTGCGTCTTCTTTGAGATGTGACCACCCTGAAAGGTTCTTCCATTTCTGAGGAAAGAACAATCTCCCAGCTCAGACTCCTTGAAAATTCCCGAGAGAGTTCAGCTCAGGATGCTCACCTACTAGTTACTCTGAAATGGTCTTTAACAATGATCTCTTGTTAAAATTGTGTCTTTGGTTTATATGAAGAGACGTGCCCATCAACCTTACCCTGTGAACCTCATGATGTCTACTCTAATGACAAAGCAGCCTTTTCACTTAATTCTTGTCCAGGTACCTAAGCTCTCCCTGCTCCAGCTTACTCATCTGTACATGAGTGTAATGTAGTGTCGATGGGTCAAAGGGAGGTTCCTAACTAATAGAGTTCTTGTGAGGATTAAATTAATTAATATATGTAAATGCTACATATATGTCTACAATAAATATTATTTGAATTCTAACAAAGTCATTGTAAAATTTAGTTTACAGTGATTATAGCTTTGTAAACTCAGGGAACTGAGTCAATTTTCCTCTCAGAGCCTCAGTTTATTCATCAATAAAGGCTGCTAATGATACCAACCTCCTAAGATTGCATAAAAGTTTAATTTAAATTACCGCATGGCCTTGAGGACACCGAGCTTTATACCTCTAGAGGTTGGTACCTCTAGACACTGACACATTAGCTGGTGTGTGACAGGTGTTCCAAATCAATGTTTGTTGAGTGAAATTTAAGGTGAGGCTAAAAGGTCAAGATTATCACTTATTTCCTGGAGGAAGCTGAGTGTAGAGAAAAGAACGTGGGCTTGGAATTGATAGAATTGGGTGCAGTTAGTGGTTCTGAAACTTCCTGGCAACATGACATCAGAGGTATTTAAACTCACAGAGCCCCAGAGATGTCTCCTTCTGCCCATTGTTATTTAGGTCCAGGGATGTCTGCCATCATTTTTGTGGCTCTCCTCCTGGGCCTCAAGGTGCTGCTGCTGACGGGTTTCACAGTCACCCACATCTGCAGGTGGTGTGACCTGTAACAGGTGAGTTGGGGGCGGGCCTTCGTCCTTAGGGAGGGAGTTTGGGGCCATTGTCAGGAGCTGGCAAGAGGAGTCCAGGGCATGCCCACAAAGTCACATGGTCCCCACAAGGGTGACGTAGCTTCAAGAAAAGTTTGTGAGCAGTGATTTCCTCCAAATGTCTCCTGGAATTCTAAGAGTTTTAATTCTCATACATTTGGTAGTGACCTGGAGTTTGAAGGTTTTCAAATTAAGTTCCTTGGGACCCCAGAGGCGAGAGATTCAAGGTGTAGAGGTGGGATGAAGGGCAAAGCTTTGAGATCCAAATTCCAAAGAGTCCCCCAATAAATTACTATATATTAATCCTCATCTGAGAATGATTTTCCATTTTATTTTCAGACAGAGTGGAAGGGAGGGAGGATGATAGAGAAAGAGAGAGAGAGAGAGAGAGAGAGAGAGAGAGAGAGAGAGAGAGAGAGAAGAAGAAGAAGAAGAGAGAGAAACATTGATGTGAGAGAGACATGTTGATTGGTTGCCTCTCGCATGACCCCGACCAGGGCCGGGGACTGAACCACAACTGAGGCACGACGTGCCCTTGACCAGAATTGAACCCACGACTCTTTGGTCTGCGGGCCAACGCTCCAACCACTGAGCCAAACCGGCCAGGGCAAGAAGGTATTGGCAATATCAACTAATAAAACCTATGTGAGGGATGCCGATGCTGCCTAGCGTCTGCGATGAATGTGGGTCCAGAAGGGAGTTCAGATCTCAGAAAGAAGTGTTGGGGTGTAGTTTTTAGGGGCTTCATTTCTGATGTGCACCATGAACCCAGGCCAAATAGAATGCCTGTCACTTAGCAGATGCTCAATAAATATTTGTGAAGCGAATGATTTTCCCTACAGCTTCTGTCTGCCCTCGGACACATTGCCTCCTGCCTTCTCCAAAGCGTTCCACTGGAGAGAAGCAGCAGCAAGGACCTGCAGGTTACCCGAGACCCCTCACCCTCACCCTGCCAGCCCCACCTGCACCAGGACCATGCTCCCTCCACACCCCCTGCGATGTTCCTTCTCTCTGATAATAAAGCGGAGTCAAGGATGGACTTTGGTCATGGAGACTCCAGATGTCTGGACCTTGATGCGTTGAGCTTTAAACTGGTCCTGCTCCTCCCCAAACAGAACCAAGCAGATGAAGAGAACAGGTTTCCATCCTTCCCTGGTCATAAGCAACTTTTAATATTCAGAGTAAATTTAAATTTTATCCAGAGCTTTTGCAAGTATAACTATATTTTAATAAACAGATATTTGAAATCATGACGTTGACTAAACATTTTACTATTCTGAAATATATAAAGAATATTTAAGGTATCCATGGACCTGTCGTCTGTCTTTGTAAAATATTCACATTGTTGCCATTATGTTCTCTGTTCCTTTTGAAAACAGTACTAAATTGCATGTTTATCATTTTCTGGCATAATTTTATACTTTTTTACAAGATATATGTAAACCCTTAAGCAATATTTAACATTACTTTGCATGTTTTAAATTCTATATAAATGCTATTATACTGTATACAACATTCTAGAACTTAATTTTTTAGGCTTAACACTTTTGTGTGTTTTAATACTGTTGATATATGTAGCTCTATTTTTTAATTTTCTACTGCTTTACAGTTTTTTATTGTAAGATATGCTATAATTTATCTATTCTTCTCTAGATGGAATCGAAGCTTTCTCTAATGTTTTGCTGGTGCAACTTTGCAATAAACATTATATTTTTGTCTCCTTGGCATGTGTGGAGAGCCCCTCCTGTCCTTGAGTGCACCCCAAGTCCCAGTGTTGGTATCATTTGGGAGCTTTTGTTTTACAAAGAAAAGTTTTGCGTTTTTTTTTTTTTTAATCAAATTTTACTCTTTCCATTTATGCCTTTGACCTAGCCATGTTTTTCTGGTGTGTGTGTCTATGGGTATTATTGGTGGTAGGGATCTTTTTCTTTTTCCATTATAGTTGATGTTAAATGTTATTTTATATTTGTTTCAGGTGTACATCATAGCGGTTAGACATTTATATAATTTAGAAAGTGATCCCCCCATAATTCTAGTACATACCTGACATCATTCATGGTTATTACAATATTATTGACTATATTATATTCCCTGAGCTGTACTTGACATCCCTGTGATCATTTTGTAACTGCCAATGTGTGCTTCTTACTCCCTTCACCTTTTTCGCCCAGTCCCCTGACTCCTCTCCTATTTGGCAACCATCAGTTCGTTCTTGTTTTTCCACAAGGATAACTTACCCAGCGCTCAATGTCCCACACGGCCACCTTTGCCATATGTCAAGTGTCCATAAATATGTGGTTTTCTTGATGAGCTCTCTGTTCCATTGAGCTACTTGCTCTCTCTCTCTGTCAGAATGAGCCTGTCTTAGTTAGGGCAGCTTTACAATAAGTTGGAGCCTCTTTGGGGAAAACCTTTCTACCTTTTCTTGTTGGGCTAGTCCTCACCCAAATGCATTTTAGAACGACTTTGTCAGGTTTCATGAAAAATCGTTTTAGAATTATTATCTAACTGCACTGAATATATACAGTATTAATTCAAGCAAATTGACATTTTCAATATTGAGTTTTCTCCATTCATGGTATACTATACCTCTATTTATTTAGTTTTTTTAAAGACTCATTTTTTTTCATAATTCACAGATTCTGTATTTGTAAATTTGCCTTCTTGGTAAAATTTACTTGTAAACTCCAAATCAATTCTGAAGGGACTTTCACAGTCATTCACAGACATCACAGGGTGGTGAAAATTTGAGTCTCCAGAAGCCAGAAGTGCACATTCCCAGCTGAAGTCAAACCAGGTGACACCGCTTCTAGTTTCAACTCTCCTGCTAGGAACAAGTGTCCTTTTCACAGTCTATTTAGTGCCACATTCCCCCATTTTGTGCTTTTTCTGTTGAAATGGCCCCCAGAGTGCTGAAGTGCTGTGTTGCATTGTGCAAGCGGGCTGTGATGTGCTTCATGGGGAATACATGTATCTTCAATAATCTTCATCCAGCATGAATTTCAGTGCCATTGACCACTGTGTGTTCTTCTGCATGTGCTTATGAACATTGGGGTCTTTCTGAGGTGGAGTCAGTCTGGCTGTGGCTGCTTCTTTAATTCTGTAATTGTAGGACTTCCATTCAGCTCTATTTCAGGCAGTTCTGAATGATGGTTGTTCTGTAGTTTAGTTGTAATTTTGATGTGTCTTTTTTTTTTTTTCCTTTCCTCCTTAATACCATTTTTGTTATTAATTAATTTTTGTTACAGATGTTTCTCCTTTTCCCCCCACTGATTCCCCCTCCCCTCCCCCTGCCCTATCCCTAGTTTGTTGTCCATCTCCACTGTTCATGCACACATGCATATAAGTTCATGGTTTATCTCTCCCCCACTAGCCCCTCTTTAGGGGATTGTCAGTCTGTACCCCACTTCTGCATCTCTGGGACTACCCCATTCCTCAGACTGTTATGTTCATTATATTCCAAAAATAAGTGAGATCATATGAAACATGTCTTCCTCTGTTTGGCTTGTTTCACTCAGGATGATACTTTCCAGGTCCCTCCATGTAGTCTCAAAGGATAAAAGATCTTTCTTTCTTACAGCTGCATAGTACTCCATCATGTATATGTACCACTGCTTTTTTTTATCCATTCGTCTACTGATGGGCACTTGGGCTGTTTCCAGATCTTAGCTATTGTAAATAGTGCTGCTACAAACATGGGGGTACATATATTCTTTCTGATTGGTGTTTCAGGCTTCTTAGGGTATATTCCTGGAAGTGGGATCACTGGGTCAAATGGAAGTTCAATATTTAATTTTTTGAGGTAACACCATATTGTTTTCCATAGTGGCTGCACCAGTCTGCATTCCCACCAGCAGTGCACTAGAGTTTCCTTTTCTCCACACCCTCGCCAACACTTGTTGTTTGATGATTTGTTGATGGCAGCCATTCTGACAGGTGTGAGGTGATACCTCATTGTTGTTTTAATTTGCACCTCTCTGGTGATTAGTGATGATGAGCATTTCTTCATATGTTTCTTAGCCATTTGTATGTCCTGTTTGGAGAGGTGTCTATATAGTTCCTCTGCCCATTTTTTAATTGGATTCTTTGTCTTCCTTTTGTGGAGTTGTATGAGCACTCTATATGTATTGGAAATTAACCCCTTATCTGATATATCATTGGCAATTATGCTCTCCCATACAGTGGGTAGCCTTTCCGTTTTGATGATTGTATCTTCCGTGAAGCTTTTGAGTTTGATGTAGTCACATGTGTTCATTTTCTCCTTTGTTTCTATTGCCTTAGGTGATATGTCAGTAAAAATTCTGCTGCGTATGATGTCTGAAATTTTGTTGCCTATAGTCTCTTCTAGGACTTTTATGGATTTATGAGTTACTTTTAAGTCTTTTATCCATTTTGAGTTTATTCTCGTGTAGGGTGTAAGTTGATGGTCTAGTTTCATTTTTCTGCAAGTAGCTGTCCAATTTTCTCAGCACGATTTATTAAAGAGGCTGTCCTTACTCCACTGTATGCTCTTGCCACCTTTGTCAAATATTAATTGAGAATATTGCCTTGGGTCCATTTCTGGGTTCTCTGTTCTGTTCCACTGGTCTATATGCCTGTTCTTGTGCCAGTACCAGGCTGTTTTGATTAGAGTGGCTTTGTAGTATAACCTGAAATCTGGTATTGTGATCCCTCCAACTTTGTTCTTCCTTTTCAAGATTGCTGTGGCTATTTGAGGCCCTTTTTTGGTTCCATATGAACTTTTGAAACAATTGTTCTAATTCTGTGAAGTATGCCGTTGTTATTTTGATGGGGATTGCGTTGAATCTATAGATTGCTTTGGGTAATATAAACATTTTAATGATGTTAATTCTCCCAATCCATGAACAGGATATGTGCTTCCACTTTTTTATATCTTCCTCTATTTCTTTTTTCAATGACCTGTAGTTTTCTGCGAATAGGTCCTTTATTTCTTTGGTTAA